GGGGGGGGGGGGGGGGGGGGGGGGGGGGGGGGGGGGGGGGGGGGGGGGGGGGGGGGGGGGGGGGGGGGGGGGGTACTCATGATGTACATGCGTTACTTGTTAAGACACTGGACCATGCGCCCTCGAGAGGAGCATCATGGGCGGCGTTTTGGACGGGTTACGAGGAATCGAGGCAAAGGGGGCAGCGTGTCGTGCTGCAGACAGACCACATCGATCCGCGAGATTCAATTAATGAAGAAACGCGGGCGGACGGAAAAACGAGAGGGCAAACAATAAAAAGAACGTGCATTTTTCTACAAAAAAGTGTTGTGCAAGAGGAGCAACGTCGACAAGAGAAAAGTCGCCGATGGAGGCCAGGCTCGTGAGGAGGGGGGCGAGCAAGCTACCCACGCGGCAGACGACAGAGAAGCAGCAGAGGCGTCGCGCCTGTACCTCTTCACGCCGAACTTCGTAGTCCTTAGCTCGCCGCAGCAGCAGCCCCCCCGTCGCCGCCCTTGCCGGGCTAGGGAGCACCTGCCCCACGAAGTCCCTCACCCCGTCGAGAGCGCTCACCGCCTGGTACCGCCCTGGGTAAAGCAACGTCGCGAGGTGGATGTGTTGGTCCGAAAATGGGGCCTGGATGGTGAGATGACGCGACGTACGCCTCAGGCCGACAGCTTAGGAGGACCCCTCCATGAGATAACGCCCAAAACGCGCCCACCGTGCGTGCGCGTGTGGCACACGGTTATCTGTGGGCGCCACAGCAGCAGCAGCAACAACAACGACCTGCTGACAGCCTGCAAGAACCGCGGTGGGCGCATGTTGCAGCAGCCGTCGGGATGGGGCGACCCGCCACCCGTGCCAACCCGGAACAAAAGCCGGGACTTGACATCGATAGGGTATATAGGATAGGGAAATTGTTATTGAGCAAACTGTCGCAAAGTAGGAAGGAACGATTGGCCATTGGTGATCGGTCCAACGCTCCGTCCTTTCGAAGGACGACGCGTGGTCAACGGTCTAACCGCTAAGCCATTCAAAACATGAGTACGTAGGGTTGTCCTGCCGAGGGCAAATGGTCAACGGTCTAACAGCCAAGGCATGTAAAACATGACTACGCCCCCTCCCCCCCAAGGCGCTCTATGTCCTCTCTCTCTCTCTCTCTCTCTCTCTCTCTCTCTCTCTTCGCACCTTTGACCAGGTTGATGCTGTCCCAGTAGTCCACCTGCTTGATCACTCTCGCCTGGTCGTCTATCGTGTACTCGCTGATGCCCGTGAAGCGCGGCACCGGCTGCCAGGGCAACGCCTTGAAACACACGGTCAGCGTCCACCTCGTCCTGAAACAGGCAAGAATAGGCAGGCGGTTTTGACCTGCCAAGCTCCGAGTATGTCCGGGGCGAGATCATCTCGCCCAATAGGCACGAGGCTTGTCGCGCCCGCTGGATGCTTCCGGCACAAGGCATCGTTGACCGACCTCCCGTTCGATTCATACTTGGTGGGGAGGTTCATCTCACCTCAAGCGAAACGGGCCAGGCTCTTCGATGTCGTGCAAAATGATGCCTGCGTCCTGAGGGCCAAACACGCGAAAAGAAAAGCACATACATCCACCACCAGTAACAGGGAGGACGGAGAGGCGAATTTTTTGGGTGGCTTGGGACGAGAGAGGGAGAAGGAAGGGTGGACATTGCTCGTGGCCGTTGGAATTCTGCCAAAGAAAGGCGCACGTTGCGTTTGGTCTTGTTGTACCTAAATTGTGTTGGACAACGGCTACGTCAGGGGTAAATCGGTACGGCATTTCAGTCGTTGCTGCGCTTCATTTCAAATCATGATTGCAAACATTCGAGGCGGATGGGTACACCCCCTCCCTCCTCCGCATCCCGGTGCAACCATCGATCCATTAGCACAAAACATTCAACTTGCAAAATATGAAATCACTGGAAGACTACCTGTTCCGGAGAATACCACTGTCGAAGGGGGTGTCCTGTGAAAATCTTTGCAGTGAGTGGGCGAGGAAACGCTAACTTTCACCTTTCGCAAAAAAAACGCCTACAGCTGAGTGTCTGCTGCTGTACCCATCCGTATCATACAGATGCTTGAACATGGAAGAAACCATACAACGAGTCTAGTGCTGTGCCCGCTCACCAACATGCGAGAGCTTACTGTACCTTGAAGAGGATGTTCCCGAGAACAGACCGGCCTCCCAGCATGTCGAGGTTCTTTTTGTAGTTGTCGAAGCCCGTGAAGCTGGTCACCGGGTCGATGAACTGCACGTCCGGGAGGTAGCGCTCGCTCTCGAAGTTGTCGAAGAAGGAAGCATACTCGTCCCGGAGGTCCTGTCACATCCCATTGCCCCGTCGTTTCGGGGTTGTTGCCGTGTTGTTGTTGTCGTCGTCATATTCAACAAACATTCTGATTATCTCGCCCGGTACTGGCAGCGGTTGTAAAAACCGGCAGGGGGTGCTCAAGAAAAGCCGGAACCATCGTTTATTGAAGGTGCAAAACTAATCGAGCAACGCACATCAAGTGGATGGAAAGTGGAAGACAGACCACAGGTTCAGTACTGCAGCGGTGACGCTCTCTCTGTTAACTTTAACTTAACTCCATTCCTTCGCATTCAAGGGGAACAATCGAAGCACCGTTCGTCAACCGTCACTCGCCGTTTCCACCTGGTATGCGGGGTTCAATGTAGACCTCTCCGACCCGGCGGGGACATGCACATGGAATAACCCCTCAGCCGGGTGCATGTGCTCCTATGTATCGCTAGAATGGTCAACAATGGCCCTTTCCCTTGGGGTGGTCACGTGCTCGGGAGTGGAAATGCCAATCGTCCCCTAGGATACTGTTGTACACAGAGCTGTCACCGGCGGCGGCGTAACCCCTTAACCCCTTTAGTGCTGGATCGAGTTTTGGGGACAATTTTTGTCCCCATGATTTCTTGCTTTTTGTATTTTGACTTACACTTTTGTATCCAGCGATTCCAAGTTACATATCCTATTGCTCGATTTTTTTAGGCAATAAGGTTCATGGCGCGATTTCGTGCTATGCGATAATGTGAGGTCAGCCAATGAGCATCCCACTTTCAACGCTGTGCCGCGTACCGCACGCGGCGCAATACAGCACACAGCACACAGCACACACACCCTCCGCACCTCGTGATCTCGATGCGCAAATGTACGGCCGACAACTTCTGCATGCAGCCTCAAAGCGTTATAGCGGTGACCTCCCAGTTCTCTCCGGGAGGACACGGCGAAGTGCACGGTGTTGGAGGCCGCAGGTGACGGCAATTGCTCACTTCGCAGCATCTACAGGCTGCTGCACCCCGAGCGAGATAGCGTCGTGGGTGCAACACCACAGGAGGTAAGAGAGACCCGCCAAGAAATGGTGGATGAAATGGCAGCAGTTGCTTTCAATGAGGACTGCGGTCAGTTACTGGACAACACGGTGTCCGAGAAAGAAACGCTAAGATTGTCCAATCTCAACTTCGACAAGGTTTCTACCGAAAGCGCACCTCCTCATCCGGTCGAGCTACAAGACGCAAACCAGTGAAGACTATGCGAGAGGTGGTGGAGGACATCCACATACAACTGGGGTACGATTGTTTGGCGGTATGTCAGCTGGCGTCGGTAGCTGAGGTGAAGGAGTGGAATCTCGTGGTCTGGGAAGCAAAAGCTAGAGGTGGACTTCGAATCGTGGAAACAGGCGAGACCACGGGCTGTTTCGTTGGCAATCTTTTTGGGAAGGATTTTCTGCACCTGGTGTACAATGCCTGCGGGGGCTACCGTGAAGATAGTTACGCTGAGGGTGCGGTTACTGTGCGCAACCCGAGCAGCAGCAACGTGGCGGAAACAAAGCTGAACCACTTCAGCGCTATCGTGATCCCACAAGAACTCGTGCCGTGGGCATTGCCGTACATGCTCGCACGGGGTTCCTCCGGCGAGTCTGTTTTTGGGCATAGGAAGGCTGCAGACGATTTTTGCCCGTGTCCAACTACATCGGACAAGCGTTCGACTAAACACCAAGGCTCGCTCATCGCTTTCGATCTGATGATGATGACGAAACCGAGACAAACGGCAGCGTGCGATCTCCCCGTTCTGCTGGAGGTGCCCGTTCAGTCACAACCGCACCCACCGGCGTATCAAAGCCAGAGGCGCCGCCGGGGAAAGCGGCGATCAAGCCCGCCACACTTCCTTCTGCCAGCAGCATGCCGGCGACGACCGGGGCGGATGAGACGCCGACGCCGGCGGAAACGCCAACCAAGCTCGCCAGCAGCAAAGCGCAAGAGCGGTCTTCAGATGTGGCGAAGTCGGAGAAGCTAGAGGGAAGTGCTGCCGGCGTCGATCCGTCGAAAAGGAAGCATGGAAAGCGCAAGCGCCGCGAGACTTGCCATGCTTTATTCGCCAGCGGGAAAGGGCAAGGGCAGCGCTGTGGGGCCGAGGCGAAACCTCCCTGTGGTATGCTGTAGCATGCACAGTAAGAAGGGTGGCCAAAACCGTACTTGCGGTAGGGGTGAAACGGCGGTCATGACGAAACGGAATACGTACAGAACCCTGAGGGGGACGAGGACATGAGTGACGGGGGTAGCGACGGCGAGTTTCCGGGGGACTTGGCAGACTAGGACGAGCCGTCCGTGACCTCGAAAGCCCTCAGCAGATCAACGCTATGGTGGACAAGATACCGGAGGGCTGGNCGGCGGTCATGACGAAACGGAATACGTACAGAACCCTGAGGGGGACGAGGACATGAGTGACGGGGGTAGCGACGGCGAGTTTCCGGGGGACTTGGCAGACTAGGACGAGCCGTCCGTGACCTCGAAAGCCCTCAGCAGATCAACGCTATGGTGGACAAGATACCGGAGGGCTGGGGAAAGGCGGCCCTCAAGTTCGTCTTCGAGTTGATGCAACGCACACATGACTTCCGAAACGACCGCAAGGTAAGGATGTGTGCATTGATATTTCTAGGACTTCTTTTTCGGTAAACGCTCGCCGCTTTCCGGTGTGATGTGTTGTCGTTTGGGAGCACAATGGCAGCACGAAAGCTACAGAGGTACGACTTCGTTCGGCGAAATCTGAAGTTTGATGTACACGGAGTATTGACATCAACCACGCACACCACCGCGCCTCGGGGGTATTGTTGTTTGTGTCCCTCGCACGAAATTTGGTTTTGATCGTGCACCACTGGTGTATGCTTGTTGTTGCTTCTCCCACTCTGCAAACGTTTATTGGTGTAAATCATCTTGTTTCGTAGCTATCAGCAGCGTTTGCGATGCTGCTGTGGGTGTGCGATATGCTTTCTCCGTCTCTCCGTCTCCCCCCGCCCCCACGCCCCTATCTTCCTCCTGGTGTGTCCACCTCGTCCTTGCACTCCCTTTTACCATCGTATGCTAAGCGCCAGTCCACAATCGTTCTATCACGTGGTGCAATGGCAACAATGGCCCCTGACCGCTTTAGTCACCCCCGCCCCTACCCTGTCCCCTGCAATAACCGGCTGTTTCCATGCCATCGTCCACAACAGATAAAGAACATGGCCAAGTCGAACATCCACAAGGATGCTCCTGAGGGGAGTGGTGAGGAAGGCGAGGAGTAGAAGGGCGAGGAGGGGCTAGACACCGCCGACGAGCACGTCTGGACAATACGCGGAATGAAAGATGCAGATCGTACGGCTGGATACGACTGCGGCCGATGCAGCGGTAAGGATGCCCGTGGAGACTGCGACAGCAGTAGGAGCAGCATCGTGCGGAAAAGGGGTGAGGGAGAGGGTGCAGCAGATAACGACGGCAGTCGTACAGGGGCGGGGGGCGGTGCTGCGGGCGCTTTCGGGGGTGATGGGTTTGATTTTGACGGCGAAGGCTCCTACCGAGGAGGCGGGCGCGGGGACACGATTTGAAGTTCAACCCGTCCAAGAAAACATTGGACGCGTTGCCGATGTTTGACCCCGAGAAGCTGGGCAGGTTCTCGGCGGATGGGTTAGGCGAGCTGGCGTTCACGCTCTTCTTCATCATGTTCCCGGCGGCGGTGATCTCACACGTGGTCCTGAAGGTTAGTGCAAGCGCCCGTTCCTGGTGTATCGTTGATCATGCAGGGGTAGAGCACTACTTGCGTTTTGGGGGGGGGGCTGTTCGTCACGTGTTCAGGCCGTGATTGAACCGCGATGGGTGGTTGGGTTGCGGCGCATGGCACACCCTCAATTCACTTGCTGAACATTCTTGATAACCCATTCGCACTCGCCCACCACCCACGGCCACCGTCGCGACAAGCAAACGAGTACTTCAAGTTCTGCACGAGCACAAAGAATCCCAAGGGACAGGAGCAGCGTCACCGCGACAAGAAAGAGAAGAAATGTAAATCCGTGTGGCCGAGGGGGGGGGATCACCACGAAGATGATGCTAGGTGTCATCGGGATCACCCTGGGAATCGGGCAGGTCCAGTTGCCGGAGCTGCAGGACCACTGGAGCTGTCGCTCCTTCCACGACTACAAACTCGTGCGTGCTTGCCTCCCGCGAGACATGTTCCTCCTGATCTACGGCCGTTTTTGTCACATGGCAAGCTCGGCGGCTCCAAAACGATTGCAGGACGGGACCGTTGAGGAGGGTTGGGATTCGCTCCACCATATCCGGTATGAATTGTCAAGCTGGCTTGTCCGTAGAGATTGGAGATATCTCTATGCAATGACAGTTGATATTTGGCGCCCATAAGGTTTTTGGCGCCCGGTTTTGAGTGCGAGGCCGTGCCCGGATGGTACTTGTTGGAATCTGCGAGGATTCGCTCCCCAACGACAAAAACACAACGGTCGAAAAGGGGGGCACATGTTTTTAAATATTCAGAAACACGCCCCCCCCCCCAACACGGATACCCACACAACGTCTGGGAGACAGGCCCAAAATATTAATTGCCGCTTCCAAGTTAACATTACACCAAGAACATGTAGGTGAACGTGGAACTCGCTGCCATGAAAAAACTGTTTTTCCCCCAGCCGGGAGTTATACTGCACAAATAATATAACCCCCCGTTTTCAACTCTTGCCCCGTGTACGGGGTAAAACATGGTACACCATACGGTAGGCACTTCATTCGTCGAATGCAGGAGGCACCAACGCCACCTACCCCCACCCCGGTCACACCCATGGTCGCTCCCCGACTCCTGCCGCGCCTTCGTCTCGTTGTCTACTTGTAGTGAGGTGGAGTCCATGTTGAACTCGGCGTGGAGTGAAGCTGCTCTGGTGGGTCGATGGATCTCCTTCGATGAGCAGATGGCCAAGTGTGTCAGCCGTTCCGCAAAGTGCATGCTGAGGCATATGCCGAAAAAGCCCATCAAGAATGGTGAGTGTAGCTCACGGGCAGCATGCAATGTGTACAAACAGCGTATACCATGCAGGGCCGAGACACGTTGTGCCATGCCCAAGCCCCGTCCACAGCTCCCCCCCCCCCCCCCCCCNTTTTCCGCGGTTATCTTCCATTCGTCCATGGGAGGAAATATTTGTAATCCGTATTAGTGATGAAATGGCATGCTACTTTCCTAAGTTGCGTGTGACTCTTGACTATTATGGCACATAAGGTGCTTTCGAACCAGTCGACTTAGCTTGCCACCCCCGCTACCACCCCCGTCGACGTATGCCTACACATTTTTTCCAGGGGTGAAGATTTGGGGCTATCTTGCTGGAGCGGGTACTGTTTCACGGGATACACGGACGGCGGCTACACCGGAGATCCGAGGATTCGCATGTGGGCAAATTGTCCCTTGGGGCGAGTATGCCGAATGGTGATTTTTGTCCTGTTCCACGCGTGCCCGGCACTTGGGGCGCAGTTGTTTAGGTCATGGACCTACATGGCCTGCGACAATTTTTTCACCTCGCCCATCCTCTTCATGTATCTGTTGTGGCACCGGATTTTTGCCGTCGGAATTCTGAGGGATACACACCGCGGATCGAAAGAGGCCATCCAGTACTGGTCTACCACGAGACAGCAGTATGTCAGGAAGAAGGGCGAGATGGTGTTCGCGAGGTTCGGGTCCTTGGTGTTCGTGCAGTGGAAGGATTCCAAGCCCGTCAATTTTTTGTCCACAATCCACCTCAGCCCGAAGCACTTTCTACCGAAGGAGTACAGGTGGGCGCCGTGTTTATGACATGCGTATGGTTCTGATATTCTTTGCACGACATGTGTCCAGGGGTTGGTTATACGGGTGTGTACATGTCTAGACGCTGCTGAGGTTCATACCCCGATCATGCTGACACAGAGCTCCATAAATTCGGCCCCGTGCGCTCTCGCTGTATTCGTCCACACCGACAGCAAGCACGTGGCGGGACAGTCCAAGAAGGCAGGCGGCTTCCAGCCTTCGTTTAGATTCCACTACAACAAGTTCATGGGGGGAGTAGATATCTCGGACCAGCACAACGGTGCGTACCAGACACTACACCGTGCTAAAAAGTATTTTTGGCGACGTCTATTTGAGCAGAAGTTGATGCACGCCTGTACGAACGCGTGGTTGATGTTTCGCTGGTGGTTGAGACACATGCAAAGTGGGGTGAAGGAGGCGATCGAGCAACCAGAGGAAAGGGGGGTGTTCGAAAGCGAAGAAACTGCCGATGGGCTACTTCTCAAGGGGCTGCGAGTGGAGGGCGAGCGTTTGGCCACTTAGAAAAGCAGTCAAGATCAGTTTGAATGAGGGAGCTTACCTGCTTTCTCATGTCTTCGTTTAACATTGGCAACGCCGAAAGAGGGGGTCGGGGGCGTAGAAGCACCCTTCCAGTGGCGACATTCAGGATTAAGTCGGGGGGTGGCAACCTTCAAACTCCGAGGGGAACACAACGCTTCTGTTGCATGTCGAGAATGTGTGACGGTCGTACCCCAACCAACCCTAAGCGGAAGAGTAAGCCTCGGGGGAGGAAAGTTGAAACTGTCTGCCGGTGCACTCAGTATGAGAAGTCGGGTGGCGTTGTAATTTGTCATCAGTGCTTCAGCGATAAGGCGAAGCACGCCTCGGCGTTCTCGGCAACTCAAAAGTCCAGCAGGAAAAATAAATAATTCAAATCGTGAAAGAGAGGATAGAATTCCTTGAATGACGCGTCTTGCCTACCACGGGTGTTTTTTTTGCGTGGGCGCGGGATCGGGGGAGAGGGAAGGGGGGTGTCCCGGAAAAAAAAAAGACTTGTTGGGAAATCCTTGTGTCCAAAGTGCAATAAATAAATCAAGTGGTGAACGCGAGGAGCATACCTTAGGGTGTTTCAGTGTATTTTCGCGTGGGCATGGGAGCGACTGGAGTTGTGGTTGCTGGACAGAAAAAAAACTTGCGCTCCCTACGGTACGCGATTTCGCTGTTGCATATCAGCTATAGCTGAGATACAAAGGCATGTAGACTTCCAATGACGTTTGGCATTTGACTACCGGTGTTCGCTTTCGCCTGCACGGGCACGGGGGCGGGGGGACTTGTCTCTATAAAAGGATTTACATTAAAAATATATGCCCGGTTTCTTGGCTCTTGGAGATCACTTTGTCATCCAAGTGCAGCCTTCTTCTCGGCCGCCGTAAAAGTAATACTCCTGGTTTCATGGGGTTCGACCTAGAGTAGAACTGTGAGGTGCTTCGAACAAAGCATCACAATCATGGCGGCCTGGCGTGCGGCTGCGCCCACGCCAACAACTTTGTTTTGTACGGAGACCTCACCATTTTTCAATTTCTCGGGGGCTGCATGGACCATGTGATGGATTGGATTTGCTGAATTCGCGCAAATGCTCTCATGGGCGCGGCCGATAGTCGGCTGACATTGCCACAACGTTCACGCCCTCTGGGCGATCATGAAAGAAGCTTCGCAGACAAGAACCATCGCGGTTCTATCAAACACGAACAGTCACAACTTTGTGTTTCGGGGGAAGGGCGAAGCTTGCTGTTAGCTGCTTCATATCATACTGAAAACTCTTGGCCCGACCTCAGGCGTTCAGCTCCCCCTACACCGGTCAAATTCGTTGGGACGCGCACAGGCAGGTTGTCTACAGAGGCTTCTTCGACACAAACGATACGTTGAACACTTTTTGCTGGACTATTGCGTACAGATCGAACCACGTTTGTTGAGCACTCGGTTGTGCCCTGCTGTTCTCTCAATGGCCACCAAACGGTCCACTACAGCAAACCTCGGCCACTCTCTCTTGTTGACATCTGCGTTCGTTAGACCCTATCAGCATTCTTTCTAAAGCGCCACCCAACTATTCCATCATACATACCACGTTTAGGGCGTTTGCTCACGGAAAAGAACCACGGCTGCACCAGGTATGTTGTTGCTCTCTCTAAAAGATTGCCCTCCCAAATTCTTATGCGACGCCAGGAGAGTAGACACCCCCACTCCCCACTCCCAGCTGCGCGGGAGAAAAAGCGAGACAGGCCTATCCGGTGCATCTCTAATCCAACTGCACAACCTTTTTCTGCTACACATTCTTTTTTATGCACGTTAGGCACCACCCCTTTCGCGCCAAACAGTTTCGACCATTACGCATTTTCAGAGCTGAATGCTGTTTCCACCCATGGCTCCGGCGTGCCATTCCCGGGAAAAACAGCCCTGCATGCTTGTGTAAAGCACTCCTTGCGAGCGAGTTGGACGCCCATCCCAGCCGCACCAAGTTTCTTGCTGCGTCGAAGCAATACTGGGGGCGTGAGTGGTTGCGAGGAAGGGGGATGCGAGAGAAGTTAGTGCGCACCATCCTGCCTGCCGCAAAACATGGTACGAAAGTATAATAGACTATATATAATGCGAACGGCAGTGGTCTAGTGTTGAGTGGTTTGCGTTTCGAGGCAATCAGAGGTACGTGCATGTTGTGCGTACGTAATGTCACTGCTGTAGGGCTTCGCTCAATGGTAAACGCATCCACAATTGGGGACGTCCACGGGCACGGAGGGCCGTCTACACTTTACAACCCAAACCTGACCCCTACCAGTATGGACTAGGAGACGTACAGCAGTATCGTGCCCTATGCATCAGCAGTGATGCCCGTATCCGCGTTTGCTGCTTTGCATACCTGATTGCGGAAGACATTGAACGTGACGCCAACACCACGCCTGTCCGCAGTAGCGGCCACATCCGCGTAGCTGACGCCAGCACTCGCCGCCGCATGGTAGACTCCATAGAGTCCGGGGTGCTACTTGGCGGCTTGGGCGCGCTGATCGCGCGTCAATCCTGTTGCTAAGGCTCCTGGCGGCTCGTCGTGACTACATGACGCCGTTCCGACCGGAACGGCAGCATCGAAGACAAATCCTCGGAAGCGTGCGACATCATGCTCGTACGCCTCCTTGACCTGGACAAGGGTGGCATGGCTGTCTCCAACCTTGAACTCCTCGACGAGGGGAGTGCCGGGGTATGCGTTGGCTGCCATAGGCTATCGTCGTGTGGCGTTGGACGGGAGGAGTGGAAGCGGAAGAGGATATCGGCGCGATGTGACGATGTGCGGCAGGTGCTCGCTGCAGCCCAGCAGGTTCAACAGCGAAGTTGCGCCGCGTCGATCGGCGCTTGGTCAGAAAGGGCTGCCAGGGCCCAACTCGAAGAAGCACCTTGCCCACCGATGAAAGGAGGCTCCGTGCAACGTAGGGCTTTGGTTTGAAGGTGTCGCGTTCCCTCTAGAGGAATATCTTGAAAGCCTCCTTTTCGTGCTCCGTTTACCACGCTTGCGCCAGTTGTTCTCTAAAAGCCTTATCAAATGTCCCCTCGGTCTCAAAGCCCTATCTAGGGCCTTTAGACAACGAATAATCGAGGGGACATTTGATAGGGCTTTTAGAGTTGAGACGGCCCCGGCGGGCGCTGTTCTCTCCCTTGTACACAGGCCACGGACTGTCCATCATCGCCCAATGAGAGAGCGACTTCTTTTCATTTTTTTTATTTTTTTCGCGATATTTTCGAAGCCCGATTGTTATTTCATAGTTGCGTTCCAATCGGTAAGAGTACGCATGGTTACGGCGCGGGGATACTTGCGCACATGCATTGCGTCACACACACGCAGGGGCAGGCGTAACAACAGTAAGTAGTTCACCTGCTTCAGCGCCTCTTTGTTCTCCAGATAGTCCGCGCTCTCCGTCGCTGCCGGCGTGGTTGTCGCCCTCAAGCAGACGGCCTGACCTCGTGCAACCGCGCTCCCTGTACGTGTGCAAGCTCCACGGGACAGCCCCTGCTGTAGAGCAGCAGGCAAGAAAGGAGAGAAGGACTCCACACTAACAGATCGTCCCCATGTTGCTATGAGAGTAGCGAGCAGCTGAGCAGAGACGCCCATGAGCCCAGCACTCGACTAACGGCAAACTGCGTGTTGTCGTACTGACTCATGTTCGATAGAAGGGGCATCATAGAGTGCACAACAATACTAAACGATGAAAATCAGCGAGGGATGGGTGGAAAGCGAGGTGCGAAGTCCCCACTTGCTTAGGGCCAGGGGGGCAGCAGGCAGCAGCACGAGCATCCCAACATTGGATTTGGCTCAGTCCCGGGGGTGAGGGCGTGCTTGAGAGAGGGAGAAAAAGAACCAAACAGAACTCTAGCCGGTATCCCAGGCGTTGTTGCCCAAACAACCTCCCGCACGGAGCTCTCTTTGTAGTCCAGCGTTCGAATCAAGCACACACTTAAGTGGTACAAGGAAGGCATCCACGGAAAGGAGAGCTCTCATCAACACACCGACAGCGGCAAGCAGCACGCACCACACAGCGGCACTTTATTGCCCCGCCGCGCAGCACCATGCTCTCGGGAATGAGAGTGGCCAAGGTTGGGAGCAACAGCCTCCGAAGAAGCGCTGGCGTTATCAGACCAAGGCATGCTTCTGCCGCCGCTGCTGCCGGCGAATTGCACTCGTCGCAGCAAACACCGCTACTGCTAGCGGCGGCAGCAACAACAACAACAACAACAACAACAACACGACGACCCTTCTCGGCGGCGCGCGCGGCTTTGCCGAAAGCGTCGGAGCTTCCGTCGTACGTGCTGAACTGTCCGGAGACGCAGGTCACAACTCTCCCCAACGGGCTGAGGGTAGCCTCCGAGGTACGTCCACCTCGCACTGCTGTGGAGTATCATGTCGCGATTTACTTCGAACATGATGTATCAATTGCGCCGCATCCAGTGTACAACGTCCACCAGGCCTATCCTCTACTCCTTCGTTGAGAACGTGTTGCTGTTACGAAAGCAGGGTGACAGGGCTGTTTATGTAGCCTCTTTACGCACGGGTGGCTGTGTTTTGAGAGATGATGGTATTGATCTGACGTTCATTTCAGGACCCGGCTCTCGAAAGCCGCGCAATGAAATTGTGACGCACAGCAGACGTTCATTTCAGGACCCGTCGAAAGGCGCGCAATGTCCCAGTATGTCGCGCGTGTGATAACGACTAACTTCAACACAAGCTGGACGAACAGCAACAACGCAAACCTCCGCATACAAATGTCTCTCTCTTCTTGCCTCTATCACCACAAATCATGGCCTCGCATATCACCAATAACAGACATGAGGTTTGATTTTTGTGAACCCCCTGTTCTCTGGCGTACAACAGTCGAGGTTTGCCACGTTACCGTTGAGGGCCGAGGTATTCGATACGCACAGCAGTGGCATTTATTTTCAGCGATAAGTACACATGTGTGCACCTCTGTCACCACGAGACGCCTCTTTTGCTGAATAAAACCCAGAGACCAGAACGGCGCTTTTGAAACACAACAATGAGTTGCCCTCACCCACTCCACAGACGAGCCATGGGGCGACCGCATCTGTGGGCGTGTGGATCGATGCCGGCAGCCGATACGAGACGCGGGAGAACAACGGGGTGGCCCACTTCCTGGAGCACGTGGCCTTCAAGGGCACCCGCAAGCGCACGCAGACGCAGCTCGAGACGGAGATCGAGGACATGGGGGCGCACCTCAACGCCTACACCTCAAGGTGGGATGATTAGCAGTGTACGTGTCGCCGTGTACCGCGCCGGCACTGCTGCTGCTGCTGTCGCTGCGGGTGTTGACACCGAGCGTACTGGTGTTCACTTCTTCCTGGGTTGATAGGTCCAGGTTCTGGAGCGGGGGTGCCTCGTTTTTCCCGGGCGGGGAAGGCTCGACATGCCTCGTCTCGTGTTTCCTATGATACTAAGAAGACCCATGGCTTTAGGTGCCGCCGTGCAACCGGGTGTGACCCATTACGCCCCCCACCTCCCCCCCGTCTTCGCTTGGCGGACGGTGTTCGGCACAGAGCTCAGATGATAATTCACTGCCTTCTGGACCTTGATGTGTGCAGCCGCTCAGCGTGCGAGTGGTGACTGTCGCTTGTCCTCAATGCCGTCACATTTTTTACCGGCATTCCTTCGGGTAAGCTTGATGAGGGTAAGCTTAGTGAGCGAAATTGTCAGTCGCCTACTTAAACTTCGTGGAGATACAATGTTTTCGCTATTATTCACAGTCACGCATGTACCTCCTACTAACTCTGGACCAAAAACTGAATATTTTCTCGTTCAATCGACGTTTTTTGACCAAATGTATCAGGTACGCCCATGTTCCGTCTCGCATTAGAGCAGTGTTGTTGCGGTTGCCCGTCGCCCCCGGATTATACCGTGGGCCGGGCGAACACTTCCACTCCTCCTTGGAATAGACGCCACACATTTTTTGTTAGATAGACTACCCTTTCGGGATAGTCTAATACCACAGCAGTCGAAGGGTACGTGTTGAAGCCTTATTATTTACAGTTAGTGGGAAGAAAACCGGCTAATAGATAAGGGGCTTGCTTAGAGCCCATGTAAACTTACAGTCTACACTGCTGAACCTGATTTTTATCAGTGATGCCAGTAGATGCTAATGGCAAAAGGCACTCCGTAGGTATATTTGCCGCCGACCGACCGACCGCTTTCCTCCCGCAGGGAACAAACGGTGTACTACGCTAAGGTGTTTAAGGAGGATCTGGGGCGCGGGCTCGAAATATTGAGCGACATCTTGATGAACAGCCTGATTGACGAGGGCGCCGTTAACAGAGAGCGAGACGTTATCCTCAGGGAGATGGAGGAGGTTAACAAGCAGCAGGAAGAGGTGAGCCGCTGAAGGTCTGACGCAGCAGCGGTGTTGTGCGCGCGAGCACGGGTGTTGGACCGTTGAGTCTGGTCTGTACCGAGGTGCGATCGTTGTCTCCGGGGGCACGCAAGTTTGTGTGGCGTACAAAAAGAACTCACTCTCCGCCTTGTTGTGTTTTCGTCTCACATATCGCCCCTCCCTCACCCAACGTTTTACAACGAAGCCGATCATTTCGTGAGCTCGGCAACTAGGTAACCGCATGTATTTTGCCGTTGTATTTTTTTCACCATATTGGTAGTCTAGTAGATTATGTCGTGGGGGGTCGAGAACCCTCACTCCGCGCGAGGGGGATGATCGCACCATGTTGTGTTAATTTGGTCAAACACCCTAGAGGCAGTTAGTTACACAATGCTTATCCCTGTCTCTGGCAGTGAAACCACCAGAAAATAAAGTACGTCATTCGCAGCTGCTAAGGAAGTATAATACTCTTAGCAGGATGCAGCGCACCCTTCATGCGACTCGCCGAATACCTCACGGCGCTTCGCGCTTGGTGATGTGAGAACCCGGCGTTCTCCGTCCCGGCTTCGTAGGGATGCGAGGTCAGTGATCTAACGACTACGGCATGCACGACAATGAGTACACCCCCCCCCCCCCCCCCCTCCACCCCCCCTGGTGTTTGCCATCGGGGTTGGGNGCTTCGAGAAGTGCGGCCTCGGTCGCACCATCCTAGGCCCCGCGGAGAACATCCGCAGCCTCACCAAGCAGCAGCTGCACGACTATATCACGACGCACTACACGGCGCCGCGCATGGTGGTGGTCGGAGCCGGCGCCCTGGAGCACGAGGAGCTGGTCGAGATGGCCGACCGGTGCTTCGGTAATCTTCCGCGGGACCCCCCGCAGGGGTCCATCGTGACGGTGGGTGCTGGCGAAGGAGAAGTTGTGTCGCCCTGTTTTTGGGGATGTTTTTTTTCTACAGAAATTATCCCTACCATCACAGGGGAAAGACTTGAAGAAAATATAGATACACCCACAGAAAGACTAAGACTACCCGTTCGAGATACATATACCACCAGTGAGGATACCCTCACTCTGTTACGAGCAAAGGTCCCTGAAGTGGTGAATAACCGTTCACCCACGGAGGTAATTTCGATCTTAGGGCAATATGGCAAGGAATGCCCAAGCGTGGCTGGCTTTAGTCGGCCTTGCTAGGTTGAAAGGTGAGAGTGAGTCTCAGGGGCCCGCTTCCACCCTCCGGCTGGTCACAGCAGGCGGAGGGTCTTTTCGTTGCAAAGATCTTCAGACCACGAGTACGTCGTTCCTAGGGTCACGGATCTTCACGGTTGTATGTGCGTCCCTACCACTGGAAAGATACCTATATCCTGGTTCCCACACCAGAAGGGGATGGACGTGTTGGAAGTCTTTGGAGCAAGTGGGTGAAAACCGGCTGGATACTGGGCTTATTTTTGTAGCCTCGTATAGTTTTTTTGTCCTGCCTGTTTCGATGCCAGCAGTGGCCGACTGACGCGAGAGGGAACTGCACTGCTTATTTTTTTCCGGGACCTTGTCGCCATCCCTGGTGTTCCAGCTAAGTTTGTGTTCCGTGTTTTCCTTTCCCGCCGTCACGCTCTAGTTGGCGGAGTGTCGTGTTCTGTTGGCCATGTCAACCCGTCCGCCATACTCGTTTGGGAATAACGTTCATGTCCACGTATCCGTGATCAGTCGTCCAACGTACCCCCATGCAACGATGCACGGCCCCTATCCCGAGTTGATCCCCGAAACCAGCCCGACCCTCAGGTTATCTCTCAGTCCGTCTGTGACTACCAGTAGTGGGGTCATCTGTTAGGTGAACCTATATCTCCGTTTCCTATGTGGCGCGTTCCCCGGTTATGACGTCATCGCCCACCGCCAAGCCCTGTGGCCCTACGATTCACTTTTTAACACCCCCTTCCCGTCAATGGCCTATGTAACAGCTTAGGCATGAAAACCTTAGTACGCCGCCCCCCGGGCGGTACGCCGCGGTCTTTTGGTGTTCTGGGGTGTAACAAGCGGGCCAACCAAGCGAGAAACGTGAAACAGATAGGATAGGGAAAACGTTTCTGAGCCAACTTTGTCCAAGTAAGAAGGAACGATTTGGCCATCGACAATCGATTCAGGCTCCGTCCTCTCGAGGGACGACGCGTGGCCAATGGTCTTAGTAGCTGCTTATCATGTATGCTGATCACGAGTACTCCCCTCCCCACCCCGTCTCTCCCTCCCGCCGCGCCCCGCCGCAACGGTCATTCGTGTATGTTTTTGCGCTCTGGCCCCCCCCCGGTCAGCCGGACCCCGCCGTGTTCTCCGGAGCGGACAAGCGGGTGCTCAACGCCAAGGAGTCCGAGGCCTACCTGGCTCTCGCCTTCCAGGGATCCTCGTGGACCGACGAGCACGCCTTCCCGCTCATGATCATGCAGACCATCATGGGGGGCTGGGACCGCAGCAGCGGTGAGTAGAGCAACAACGTTGGCTCGATGAAATCGAGACACGCAACGTCTCCTCGCGCGGAACGATCCATGGGTTTTAGTGGTGTCCGCTACAACGCCGGTAGTTAGTTGCCAGCCCGCATTATAGCGGGAAACCGGCGCTATTCGCGGTATGGAACAGCTTGCATGTTCCCCCTGTGTCGCGCCGTTGTAAGGTGGTGGTCCCGCCACAACGCCGGTAGGTGCCAGCCCGCCTTACAGGGGGTAACGGGCACTAGTCGGGGTATGAAACAGCTCGAGATTTCCCCCGGTGTCAGGTCATTTCTCCGGCGTTATGCAGGGCAATCGACATAATTCAACCGGCATCACACCGAGCCCACTTTTCTATATGTAGCGGTCGATTACTCCGTAGTTGTGTGTGGATTCCAGAGAAGACCTGTTTTCGTACCCCCGAACCCCACGTCGACTTTTGGTGTCACGGTTTTCGAAGACGCGTTTTTGTAACCGGCGGCGCGTTCATGTTTTCAAGTGCTGCCGTTGCGAAGTGAGAGTTGATGTCGGCCACAGGCCTGCGTGGATCATGGGCCACTATGACGCGCAGCGGCAGTGCGTTTTTTTTTTTTTTCGGTCATCGTGCGTGACGGCGTGGTATCAAAAAGCAGCAATAAGATAGAGGTACAGTAGGTGTTGTGGGTTGGATCGTCGAGCGATCGAGCAGCAGCAGACGGAGTGCGTGGCAATCAAGTGTTGGGTTGGTGCGGCCGCTTGCTGCTGCTGCTGCTGCTGCTGCTGCTGTTGCTGCTGGGCGATGCTTGTCGAGCTGCGGGACCGCCACTCCTTTGCGGTTTAGCGGCTTGACTGGGTTGGAACCAGGGCGACGATACAGCATGCTTCCTGTAAAGTGTGATTTTTGCGACGCCGTTGTCTACCGCTCTCTTCCTTCTGGTCTCTGGTCAGGGGCGAACGTGGTTCCCCCCCTGGGGCAGGCGCTGGCGATGTCGCCGAGGGAGATATGCCACTCGTACACCACGTTCAACACGTGCTACAACGACACGGGCCTGTTCGGCATCTACGCCATCGCCCAACGTGAGATGCGCGCGCGATCTCGAACCGCGGGCGTCCGAGACGGTAGTCGTCGCGAAGGATGCACGCTGCCTAGCAACGGCTCCGTGTTGTTGTTGTTGTTGTTGTTGTTGTTGTTGTTGTTCTTGATTTTGTCCTTTTTTTTTGCTGTCCCTGTAACCTTGACGACTTTTTTTGGTTCGTCGATTCGTTCTTGGAAACCGATTGGCGGCGTTTGCGCGATCGTGTTGTTGTAAGCACGAGGCTGCCGGGCCAATCCAAGCCCTGATACATTCCGCCAACGTGTGGACGCGCTGTTTTATGTCATGTGGCGATTGGCCGTGTGTGCGAACGAGTTTCCGCGCACAGCAGTCGACCTTACGAAGTATCGCGCATCGTAGTTGGGTGGCATGAAATTCCGCTACATATCTATAAGTACATGAATAGCGTCCTGCCGTTGTTTGTCACGTACAAGAACCGATGTCCCAAAGGAGCATCTTCACAAATTTCCCGTTATTTTTTGTTTTATTTGTGCTGATGTTGTCCAGCCGAGCATTTGGAGGAGCTGACTGGGCTTGTGTTGGAGCACATGGTGCGGATGTGCGAGCACGTGGGAGACGAGGAGGTCGAGCGTGCGAAAACCCAGGTATGATGCGGTACGGTATGGTTTGGTATGGTATGGCACGGTACGGTATGGTATGGTGAAATATGGTGTGGTATGGAATCTACGATATGGTTATGGTGTGGCAAGGTACGGTAAGGTATGGTGTGGTACAATATTCCGCTGGAAGTACACGGGAAGTCGTCGTTTTTGTGGTCAAGTCGCCTAATCGGCTTTGTACCCGATAGCAGTCTGCTTCTGCCCCAGTCGTGTCCTTGCATGATGCATGTTGCCAGCTGTGTGTAGCAGTATTTTTTAGTGCCCTACGCTCTGACGGCTGTGTTCGCCGCTGCCACCGAAGAGTAACGAGACTGCCGTTCATTGACGGCGCGTTTGAGTGGATGCACTTGTGCTGGGGCAGGTCCAGTTGGTTTCACGGCGTTTCCCCGTCTGAAGCGGAAGGGGGCGAACAGCGCTCGTACACTCGGAAGCTATCTAGCTCGTGGCTCCTGTGATCGTGTCCGACAGACGGGAACGTGAAGCAGTGGCTTCTAAGTGCAAACCGTGCTACACAGGCTGAACCGCTGCGTGGTCCGGCGAAGAGATGTCCGGCCGCACCGACGTCGAATATATCGTGACTCACTCCAATGCACCCAAAATGACGCGGACGACCCCCGCGACCATGCCGGCGACCTTATTCTGCTTTTGACTTGGCACTCGCAGCTCACGTTTGTGTGTGCCCTGTGCCCCCCCCCCAAAAAAAAAACTCGTCGTGTCGCACCGTCCTGGCATTGTAGGGAATGCGAGCGAGGTCCATGGTCTAGTGACTACAGCATGCGTTGACATTAGTACATCCCCCTCCAACCACTCGGCTTCTTTCGCCCCCGATGCGGCAGCTCAAGACCAACATGCTGATGCAGCTCGACTCTTTCGCGGCCACGATAGAGGAGATAGGGCGCCACATGCTCACGTACGGCAGAAGAATGCCGGCGGCGGAGGTGTTCGCGCGCATCGACGCGATCGAGGCGGAGGATGTTCGGGTCTGCGCGAACAGGTACGTGAGGGCTGTTATTCTGCTGTGGTGTATAGCTGCTGGTGCTGCTGTTCATTGAAACGAACCACACGAGTTAAAATTGGCAGCTTCCCTTGCCCCCACACCCGATTTCACGTGCAAGGTTGACTGCTACCTTATGTACCCCGTGGGCGGGTAGCATGCCGCATGCCCTGCTGCAGGCCCCTCCTTCACCGTCCTTCCCATGCGTGTGTTGACCGCCTGTGCACTGCGCGTAATCCCCCGAATGACGTCGACACCGTTACTCCGCTGCTCCTTGTCTCTTGTCTTGTCCGTCAGGTTCGTGAACGACGAAGACCATGCTATGGCCGCGCTTGGACCGGTTGGGGGCTTGCCAGACTACGACTGGGTTCGTAACCGCACAATCTTGCGCCAGTAGAGACACAAAAACTAGAGCATGATTGTCTCCCGGAGAATTTGAGGTCGTCGACCCACGGCGTGACGTCCTTGTTTTGGGGACGCCCGTTTTTTTATTGGGTTCGATCTTTGCGCGCATTTCGTGCGCAAGAACTTGCTTCTTTTGCTTATGTGCCTCTACGGCGTCAGTGGCGGGTGTTTGGTTGAAACTTGTGCGGAGTTGGGGTGTTCCAGGACACGTGCATGGCAGTAAATAGTGGCATGCGTTGTTCGGTCCATCGTTACAAGACGTTTGTTTCAGGGTGGGACACACCTTTGTCTGGATGCCCTGCAGTAGGTGCCATGTCCACGGGATGTTGGTGGGGGCGATATGGCGACTTGATGCAGTTATGCAGCTCTGTCTCTCTATTTGGGAGCAGCTACGAACGAAAGCTACTTGATCGGAAAATAACAAGAGTCTTGAGAGGAAATTCCGATGCTTCTTGGCCCTCCCTGTGGTTTCCTTCGCATTTTTTTGTCGTTAAGGCGCTTCGGGGAGTCGAGGGGCAGTCTTGCGCCGTGTCGCAAAATTGTGACTGCCCGGTTGGGAGATGCAAGCAACCAAGCAAGCAAGCGCTTCTCGACCGTCAAATCAAGTCAACCATCCCGCCATCGTTCCCAACCTCGTGTTCCTATGTATTAGTGTGGTGCGGCGTCAGTCACTCCGTGTTCATGGAAAACGTTGCCACCCTTGTGTGGAGGGGCGGGGGGGGGTGTTGCGACCCCCTCGTTCTTCGCGAAGAGGTACATCTACAGCAGTACCTCATTTGGGTATCGGTACCGTTTTGGGACGACCAGGCCCAGCATCAGAAACACGACCACACACGGCTAAATAGCTTTTCGTATCACGTTGCAAGACAAGGCAAAACATTACACCGCAGGACGCTCGCAGTGGGCGTGCCGCCAGGGCGTCACACAGTCTCTCCTAAGAAAATTGGAGCAGCTTGAGGCATGTGCGGGGGGGACATGCGAGGGTGTTTTCCCGGAGCCTTCTGTTCGATCGAAAGGGCGGGGTTCCACCCCTAGTCGTGTCTTCGTTCCTTAGAAGAGGGCATCGAAGGAGGAGACAAAAAGCAAAAAACACGAACGTGTGACCCCACAAATTCGTTCACAAGGACGCCAGTTGTGTCAAAGCTTGCCTCAAGCGACACATCCCGCCGGCTGCTGTCATAGCGGCGTTGGTCTTCCGCGTGCAGCAGAACACGCAGTACCCCGGTGCAAACGATGTTTTGTCACAAACGATGTATAAATATATTTTTTTCTCCCATCATTGGACTCTGTCGTCTGCCCCTCTGGCCTCTATCCTCCACTTCTACTAGCTAGACGACCCACCCGGGGTCACTATTGTACAACGATGTATAGTACTTAATTGTGTTTTTTTTCGTGTCATGCCCAAACGAGTGCAGAACGAATGAGACTGACTACTGATTAAGAACAAACGAAACTCTGGACAAACTCGACCTCACAAGGAGCGACGAAGGGAGAGGCTGAATGCCTCTCGCAAAACAAAAAAGAACTTGGGTAAGCGGCGCCGCAACACAGGCAGGCACGAAGGTACAAAATGAACGAAAACTCTTCGGTGTGACCCCGGCTATTTCAGTGTGTCCTCATAACACCGAAACATGTACCCTGACGTCTACGGAACAAATGGAATGGTGACTCACGCGAGAGCTTCTTAATAGTCTGTGGTTTACGCCATTCGTTGCGAAACAGCTGTGCGCGTAAAACGTAGAGAAAACATGCACGGGAGACAAACAATTTACGCACTACCAGAGACAGACATCCCTCACAGACATGCCATCCGGGTGGAGTGTAAAGACCACCGACCACTAGCTCGGCTTCGGACCTCACACGACGCGAGGGGAGACACCATTTATTATACTCTCCCGTTTACGTGCCGCACTACAGCAGGGAACGAGAATATTATTTGCGACACACCGAGGAAACTACAACTACTATACCAGACGCTTTTTTGCTGTCCCGCCTGGTCTACAGAACCACATATCGTAAACGCAAAGGGCGCATGTACATGCGCATATATATGTAGCTCTTCACAAGGGACGGAAGACAGCGGGCAACACATGAAAGTACCAGGTTCCACCAAGAACAATTCAGCACGTCTACACACGTCATTCGCCATCCAACACCAAGGAGAAAACCCGATAGACACGACAAAGCAACAAGCAGCCCATCTATCGCTGTGTAGATACATACGACATATCAAAGGATCGATTCTCGCGGGACAATTCGCAACGCGCATGGCGCCAGTGTTCAGCACAAAAGCCTTCCATGGCGGACATGCAGACTTCGCGCACCCAACGGGCGGGAAACTCCGACAAACTCCAACAAAAGAAAACGCTTGTCGACAGCTTATAGCCTCCCCCTCCCGTCTCCTGGAAGTCTCTGCTCTTCGTATATAGCTTCAAGGGCGGTTTCACAAAAAAAACGGCATCCTCACCACAGAAACGCCGCTGCGGCGGAAGGTTCCGCGGGTTTCCCGACGCAATAATCATTTCGTTTTGGACCGCGGGGTGGGCGAGGTTCCGTCCGCATCCTATGTACTCCACCAAGTACAACACAACTGTGCACAATAACTCGAACGACTAAATGAACGCAGCAGCTCTCCTGTGTTGGCTGCCCGCCACCAAGCTACAGCGGGGCTAACCCAGGGCCGCACTCTCGTAATGGGTGTGTGTGCCGGGCATCCGTACGACGTGAAGGATCGCTTGACTGCACCTCGGTCGGTCGCGGCGAGCATTCCAAATCGGCAACAGCCGAAGCTCATTCTCCACAAGCACACACGACAACGTGTCTGCCCACAAACTTCCCTCTACAGCAGGAACAAAAAAAAAATGCTGGCGAGGGCCAGCCAACAGCCACCAGGCCGCCGACCACGGACAGGCACCATACGCACCATATCGCACACCCCGCCTGTGCTTTACCTACCAGGCAGTAAAAGCAGCAGCAGCAGCAGCAGCAGCAGCAGCAACAGCAGCTTACTGACTGCAGTCGCCGAACTAAACGGTAGAGTCTAGGCCCAGGCACATGCAGTCCCCTTGGCCGTCGCCCACGACAGCAGCCGCTGCCGCCACCGCCATCCCGCGCGCGCCGCTTCCTGACGTCGGCGGCGTCCGCGCGATCGGAAACGAGGCGTTCGCCGCCGCGAGGCGGCCAAACCCGCACCCGCTGCTGCTGCCGCCGCCGCCCTCCTCCATCACCACCGAGGGGCCTTCCCGAGCGGAAAAGGACAAGAAAGACCCTCGCTGGCTATGGGAACGCGCGTACGAAGGGAGGGAGCTATTATGTTGGACAGACCCCGCCCCCGAGCCTTGAGACGACGGACTACAGGCATCATCATCGTCCACCCCGTGAGCCTTCGGAGCATCCTTACCGGCAGCAGCCGTCAAGGACGCCGACCTTCGCCGCCACGCGAAAGCGCCGGCCATACCCCCGGTGGGCGCAGACATCGGTCTCACCGCCGCCGCCGACGGCGCCGACGGCGGCGGTGGCGCCGTTTCGCCGGCCGTTCCCGCCCCCGCCACTACCGCGGCCGCAACGGCCGCCGCCGCCGCCGCCCCCGCCGCCGCTCCGAACTCGCCCACTCGAATCCCACCGCCGGCGCACTCGGGTTCTCCCTCCGCGCTGCCCCCCCGAGCTACACCCGCCCCCAACACCTGCTGCTGAGTAACTTCCACCGGCTCCTCCTCCATGGCATCGCCGCCGCCCTCTTCTGCGTCAAGCGAGGGATCGATCGAGGCTCGCGGGGTCGTGGCCTGGCTGCCGTACACGCCCCCGCCCCCGCCCCCGCCCCCGCGGCCAAGGCCTCCTCCTTGTAGAAACCCCCCGGATCGCAGCAACGCCGGGTTGCCGCCGCGCGCCGCCATGGCGGAGTAGGGGCTAACCATGTAGCCGCCCCCCCACCGAGGATTTCTTGCCGCTGTTTCTTCTCCTCGTCGGCACACACCATCATCATCATCATCATCATCATCATCGTGCTCTGTCGCCGCCGCCGTTGCTGCGGAGGAGGAGACCTCGACGGCTTCTCGACCGCCGTCACCTCTCGAGTCGCCCCCGCCGATTCCCGCATCGGGCGTGCTGCCGTCTCCGCCGGGCCGAGTCAGGAGGATCTCGACGGCGAGCACGATGTTTCCCCCGGCACGAGTGAGCGCGTTCTGCAGGGATCGCTTGCTGATCTGGGGGAAGAGCTGAACTACCTGGGCTAGTTTGTCCAGGTCGGTTCTGCGGAATACAACGGGCGGGGGGGGGGCACCGTGCCGTGGGACGAGAGGGGGACGGGGGTGTACGACCGGGTTGGCCACAGCAGCGGAGAGACAAGAAAAAAGGAACGACTAGGCAAATTGGGCATCATGTCGCATCAATCACTTCGCGCGCCGTTCCCTGAGGCAACGATAGCAGCATTATATTGTAATCTCGCCCCGTTCCGGAAGTTCTACTCGGCTCTGGTCCCGCACCGATGCGCCATTAAACATGGCACAGGGAGGGGTGGATGAATGACTTCCGCGAGAAAAACAGAGTTCCGTGCAGCACCCTCGGCAAGTAGAGGGTCGGTCGCCGCAGAGGTTTGCGTCGTCCCGCCTTCCTCGCAACGTGGGGACACTGGAAGAAGCGCGATGGCTGCGTCATCTCTTCCTACTCCCGATGATCGAACGGCAGCTCTTCATTCTTGGAACCACTCGCCCGCAACACGCTGTCTACACATGTTGAGCGGTACGACGTGGTTCGTGAAAGCAACCCTCAACAAGGTAGGCCGCTCAGTAGGTAGGTCATACCGAGCGGCTTACCTTTGATTATTGTGGACCTCGCCAGTATCACGGCGTACCACGAAACATGTCTTACGCACCGCAGCGAGATTCATGAATGGAGAGCCACCGTCATTCAAAGACTGCTGTGGGGGAGATAGAGGCGGCGAGCGAGCGTGGTTCGGGGGAACCAGCGCGGGAGAGGTCACCGGGGCAGGTGCCCAGGAGGAGAAGGAGCCCTTTTCATGGGCTGGGCTTCGATGCCCACAGATCAAGCGGATTTTCATGGACTGGACTTATGATTCGATGCCACC